GCGCACGCGAGCGCTCACATGCATGCTTAGGCCTCCCTACTAGGCAATCCTTATAATTTGGGTTTTTGATATGACCTAGGTCTCAGGTAGAACCTTCCTTTATCCTTCATGGTCTCAGGGAATTGCAAACAGAGTCGATCACATACCATAAGGTATATTTGTGCCAGTATGGGAAACATACTACAGTTAGGCTATGATGACCACAATTTAAGAGAACCATAATCTGAAACTCACCGGCTGACTGACTCCAATTTTAGAGTTGATATGCTACCTTGTAGTCCTTTTGGTCCTTAAAACGATCAATCCACTGTTCCTAGAACCATACAATTCTTCTCTTTCCAGTACTTCAAATTCTAATAATTTCTGTTCTATATTAAGCAATTTAAACTCTATATACATATATACACAATATCTAGGGAAATACAAAAAGTGGTTTTTAGTTTCTACTGAAACTACATTTTATCACTTTCTTATTAACTGTTGCAAAGGAAAGATTAAACCACTACCTACAGTTTAAATTCATTAAATAATATGTAAAGAAATAAAAAACAGGTAGAAATAGGCTAACCGTTTTTTTTCTACTAAAATATCATACTCATTCCTCTCTAGAAATAGGAGATATTTTAATCCTTTTAGACTTCAGATTTGATAAAAGAAATCTACATCCATTTTTCCTACCAAAAATCCTCTGAAAATCCTGTTGATTACTCTCAAACCACTGTATTTGGATTCCTTAAAAAATATACATATAATAGAGCATTAGCCAATAAATTCAAAATATAAAGAAAAGGAAATCTTTAAAATATGAACCAGTTTGGCCTCTAAATCTTAAGAGGATAACAGAGACTGACCTTTCTTCAAGAGGTTATTTTTGCCATCAAGAAACTTGGATGTAGATGAGTTAAGAAGAATCCAAATATATGTTGAAGCAGGAAACATCCTTGTTTTAAAAATCACATTATGCCTTGCATGAATTAATGAATTAACTTACCATCTTGTAAGCTGTTTATGCCTCAGTTCAGCTAGCTTTTGGCACAACTGAAGTTTAATTGAATAAGGACTTGGTAGTGCTTTGAATTACCATCAGATGCTAGTGGTTATATCTCTACCCATCACCCTTTCATCCTCAAACGCATCCTTGAAAATGGCATGCGTTCCCTAGGCTAGCCAACTGTTTGACAAAGGCAGATGTATACTGAACTTTACTTAATCATTTGAATATCAAGGTCACTATGTTCCACTCCTTGGATTTAGTATATTGAGAAACAACTTCATTATGTAACACTTTAGACAGCTATAAAAGCATGAACTTGGTCCTGTACCAAACTCAGTTTCAACGAGAAGAGCCCTTATCTTCAGTCTCTTAAAGTAGGAGATGCAGTTGATATGTGCGTGTATGTAGTCCTAGGCTACCTCTATACCCCAGGACCCCAACTGAACTAGAATCTCCGTATATGTAGAATCATGCTTGTGTTACCAAACATTAATATTCTGGTACACATACAGCAAAGGGAGATCCTTTCAAAATTATTGCCTATAAGAAATTGTACATATAATAATGGAGTATTACGCAGCTATAAAGAAGGAAACAGTACCCTTTGCAACAATATGGATGGAACTAGAGAACATTATGCTAAGTGAAATAAGTCAGTCAGAGAAAGACAAATATCATATGATCTCACTTATACGTGGATTCTAAGGAACTGAATGGATGGGAGAAGTGGATGGAGATAATCTCGGAGACACAGAGGAAGAACTGAGGGTTGTTAGTTGGGAGGGGGTGGGGGTGAAGGAGAAGGGGAAGGGATGAGACAATATAAATTGGTAATTACAATATGGCCTCAGGAATAGGAAAAGACAGTCTGAGGAATATAATCAATAATGTTGTGAATATTTCTTAGGGGGCCAGATGGACTGTCTTGTTAAGGAGACCACTGCACAGACGGTGTAGAGGCCTGACCACTGCATTGTATTTCTGAAGCTGATGTTGAATAAGATTGTATGTCAACTATAATTATATATACATATAGTCTCGGGACATGGAGTAGAGAGTGGGAATAGAATCAATGGAATTGTAATAGATAAGCATGATATCGGGAGTGGGAGGGCAATGCATGGGGGGAGGGGGGTTGTTACTTTGTGAGGGTGAAAAGGATAACTATTGCATTGTTCTGTACACCTAAAACTAACAATAAAAAAATTAAAAGAAATTGTACATATAAATTTGCTTCCTTCCAAATGGCAAAGTAACTTGCAGTCTCCATTATCTATAATGATTCAGGCCAGATGCCAATTTGAGGTAGCCAAGTCCAGCTCGAACGAAGAAAAGTTGGCAAAATTTTTTTTTTATAATTGCTTCTAGTGAAAAGATGCCTCAAACATGATCTAACAATTGACTAGAGAAGATGAAGCAAAATTTTCAGATTTTGAAGACTCAAGGCTCAAGGGGTTCAAGGATCACTATTTGAGAGGAGGCTGAATACCAGCTGATTGGCTGTCTGGACCAGCTGATCCAGGAAACATAACAGGAAGTCTTTAACCAATAAGCACATCTAAGGAACAAGTGGTTCTGATTTCCCACAGAAAGGAAGCATGCCCATTATATGCAAAAGATGAGAGTGCTTATCTGAGAAAGGTAAAGCCCCTTCTTGTTTATATGGGAAAATATAGGATGGGGTTAACACAACTATAGGGGGATCTGTCTATCATAAAAGAAGTTTGTTTGCTTTACCTCCACTGAAGAGTTAATTTGAGCATAGGAGAATAGGACCTTGGAAGCACCAATCCTGAGTACTTCAAAACAGAGTTCTACCTTTTCTTGTCCAAAATGCCAATGTACAGGATGGGATGAGGGTGATGGAGGGGTAGGTGCAGGAATCAAAAGAAATATGAAGACACCCAGATGGAAATGATAATGGTTTTTTTACCTTAATTCAAGAAGAAAAGCTTAAAATGGCTAACAGATGCCTCTTGTTAAAATGTAGCACTGGGGGAGGAGCAGGTCACAAGAAATTCTGGACAAAGCAAGGAGGTCCTCGGGGTTGGGATTTTGCACTAGCAGCTCTGTCCCAAAAAGAGAAAAATCACTCAAAAGGTGCCAAGGACAAGAGGAGTGGCTTGCAGCACTCCCTCAAGTATAATTATTATCTTTTAAAACTAATTGAAGACACCCCACCGCACAAATTCCCCTAGCATTTTTCATCCGAAGACATCAAAAGCCCTTTCTAAATGCTATCCTCATGATACCTCTGTGAGGTAGGTAACATACTTCTGATTTTTATTCACAAGCAAGCTAAGGCACAAATCGAGCCTGAGTGACAAAAGTGGTCTGGAATTTGGTTCGCTGCAACACACTCCTTCCATATTGATTAAGCAACTTGAGAGACACTGCTTAGAAGGAGTAGCCCTGAGAGCCCAACAGAAATCATTTGTGACTCTGGGAAGACAGCACAGACTGAGGGTTCCCTGATGGCATCTCGGAGGTGCCCTTCACTTCAGAGCACCAATATGCACAGCCCTTCAGAACAAGGAGACCGCATCACCCATGATCACAGAAAAAAGGCTGAAGGTACCACCTTCTTGTTGTCCCACTCTGTTGAGACCAGAACAATCTTAAATCATATGCTCCCAGGAATGGTAATTCTTAAATGTTTTGTCTTCACTGGTGCAGTCTAATTCTAAGACCTATATTTTGCTAATGATTTTGATGTTTTTGATCAGATATATCCGTGGTGCCAGGCAATTCTCTTTCATCATAATCAAATTATCTGTATACAATGTAATGCCAGGATCTGAAGCAAATAATGCATCTGGTCAGCATACATTGGTTCTATATATTTTGAGAAATACTGAAGTACACAAAGGAAGCGTGCAATGTTCAAGAGATGATGGGAACAATATCGGTGGCTTGTCTGATGGGGAATCCAGCATCTGTTCAGGAAACTGAAGACACTCAAAAAGTCGCTCCCCAATTTCTATTAACAATCCTCTAAAAATGCACATTTTCATTTGATACAAATATACAAATTTAAAATATGAGTGCAGTTCCGAATGGCCTACCATTTTCAGATTGCTTTATGTGCCAGAAAATATACAGTCAATAAAAAAATACCAGAGAGGTGGGGACAAAAGGCTCTCTGGGTCTGTACAGCAAAAATGAGTATCACTTCGGTAGGTAGTGATTCGTGGAGAAAGTGGCATCCTTGGAAACCAGTGGTACTCAAAGGTGGCAGGTCACAAATCTGGTGATGGCGGATAGGATGTATAGTAAGGCCCATGTTCCTGTGGAAAGAAAACAAAGAAAAGAACACTAAGTCATACGATTAGTGGCACTGGGAATATGAAAGAAAGGGATTCACAGTCGACGACTTAACATATGTAAAATGTTTAGCACATGTGTGGTCCTGGGTAGGCTCTTAGCCACCAGAGTAGTTCCATTGGAGTCCGTCAGAGTTGGTGTACAGTAGGCAAAGGTAGTCAGGATGATATTGTTTTTCAATAACGTTACTACTTACTGAATATTCTACATGCCAGGAACTTGATCAGCATTTTTCTTTCTTATCCCTTCATGTTCTTCCATAACGCCACGAAGAAGGTAGCATCCTCCTTTTACAGAAGAGGAAACTGATGCCCGCACGGATTGCAGAGCTCATCTAAGACCACCTAGCTAGTACCCAGAAGAGCCTGGATTTAAATCCACGTCTATGTGAATATGATGTCCAGATTCTTTTCTGTGAGAATGCGTGGTCTTACTGTGTGCCGAGTCTTTTTTTTTTTTAATATTTTTATTGGGGACTATTGGGGAACAGTGTGTTTCTCCAGGACCCATCAGCTCCAAGTCAAGTAGTTGTTTCAATCTAGTTGTGGAGGGTGCAGCTCAGTGGCCCATGCAGGGATCGAACCGGCAACCTTGGTATTATGAGCACTGTGCCCTGTGCTCTAACCACCTGAGCTAACTGGCCGTCCATATGTGCTGAATCTTAATACAGAATTATGAAACAAAACGAATGATCGCTGAGGAATTTAATAGCTATAACTGTTTTGGCAGACATGAGTCTTCTGCATAATGTGCCTGACTGACAAGGCTTGTCACCATTCTAGCTCTCAGGACATTTAGTTCAAGATCAGGATGGAGAATTACATGCCAGAACTTTAATGTCAAATGTAGAAAGCACCAAAGTGGTGTAAGGGGAAATTTTTTTTTTTTTTACCTTGTTTTGGCTAACTTTATCTTAATAAAAATCAAGACAGTTAACTTTATGGTGGATGGACCCTAGATTACATTTATGAGATCAAAGATGCATTTCTCATTTCTAAGGGAAATACTTCTCTGACAAATAATCTGTTTTTCAGGACATCTTAAACAGAAAATGTGTAGCATTAACGGAAGTTAACAATCAGAGATGGAGAATGAGAGGTAGGATAAAAATAACGTTGGCTTATGGTGTATTTATCTGATAGCTTTTATGGAGCCTTAATCTATCCAGCCTTGAACACAGTAGGCAATTAAATGTTGTTTGAGTGACTAAGTGAATCAAAGGCTCTGCTATTCTTCAGAGCAGATGCCCTGGGGTGGGAACTGATCCTGGGATCATAACCAGGAAAACAAGAGGATAACTAGGAGCATTTACTTTCTGATGATAAGTCTGACCAAGCATCAAAAAGATTATTAAAAATTTTAGGTAAAAACAAATCCTACGATTGGTTAGGTTTTAGAATACTTGAAAAAGTTAATGAAAGTTTTTAAAAAAATTTTTTTTGTATTTTAGAATTTCCTGTCAAGATCTGTTAACACTAGCCACTCCTGTATCCTTCGTGCATGGGCGGTATGCTTAAGAAACATGCTGAAGAGATAAATCTACTCTGGGGTTCATCTGAAAAGAGATGACTCACTATCCATCTTTAAAATTACTCCATTCCATTCCACTACCTTATTTTTCTACTTTTCTCATATCTACATTAAATTGTGATAAAGGAAGAAGGGAAAAGCGATCTTAATGCTTTGAAATAGAGCTTTTTATTAGTTTCACACTGTGCAAGAGACTGCTATGCAATCAAAATTTTCTCTATTTCTGGAAACAATAAGAATGCTGACTAGTAGCTCCCTTTCTGAAATGATCTCAGTACCATTTTGATCTAGATCAGCGGTTCTCAACCTTCTAATGCCGCGACCCCTTAATACAGTTCCTCATGTTGTGGTGACCAACCATAAAATTATTTTCGTTGCTATTCTATAACTGTAATTTTGCTACTGTTATGAGTCATAATGTAAATATATTTTTGTTTTCCGATGGTCTTAGGCTACCCCTGTGAAAGGGTCATTCGACCCCCAAAGGGGTCGCGACCCATAGGTTGAGAACCGCTGATCTAGATAGATAAAGTTATATTCTAATTACCTTCAAAGGTTCTTTTTAAATCCAAAAAAACCCACTTATGTCATTATTCAAAGTCACATAAGACCCAGATAAATAGAAGCCGACTGCAACTTGCGAATAACCAACACCACATCACGCCTTCACCAAATAAAGATCCCACTATGGTGGAAGGCACAACTGAACATGGTAATAAACTTAACCAACTCTATACTCAGTTCCTTTTCTCGAATCACAGTTTTAATCTTGCTAGCAAAGGAAAAGGTTTCCTTACAAGGTAATATGCAGCCACTTCCTGAACCTCCATCTCAATGACCCAAGGTCACCTCAAACCTCATGGGTCACCACCTGAAAGCACCACCGGTCTCTCCTCTCCAAGCCCCACCAATGCTTTTCCTCCTAACTGCCTTTCTAGGGTGGCTACACCGCCATCCACCATGGCTCCCAAAGCAGAAACTTTGACAGTCACCACAGAAGTTTCCTTCTTCATCCCCCCAACGGCTACGCCGTCACCAAATCCTGTGGCTTTTATTTCCTAACATGTCTATTTGTCAGTATCTCTAGAACCTCCAATCCTTGCCATTACTGCTGCCACTGCAGGGCTCCCGTTTCTCTTCCCGCCTTCTCTAATCGCATCTTACTTGTCTTATCCTTCTCTATGCTGTTTCTGTAGCCATCTTTCCAAACAGAACTATAATGGCAGTTCTCCCTTGCAGAACACGCCCCACCAACTATAAAGCCAAAATACAGCTGACCGTTGAACAACATGGGCTTGAACTTCACGGATCCACTTAACACGGAAACTGTTTTTTCAATAAAAATATTGGGAAAAGGGCCGGCTGAGTGGCACATTGGTTAAGAGCTGGCTTGGGATGCCAGAGGGCCACGGTTCGGATCCCACATATGAGGGCCAGTGACACTGCCCTCCACAGCTAAGATGCTGAACAACAGCTCAACCTGGAGCTGGGCTGCCGTGAGTCGCCA